GCAATTATTCAAAAGATAACAGTTGTTGCTTTGAATTATTAAAGAAATGGATTTAGCAATACGCAAACTGAACTGTAAATCAATTAAGGTGTCAATAAATGCAATCTTGGAGTTTCCATAGAGGAATTTCAAAAAGTCAATTTAACTGCTCGGTAGTTGTAGTGTTACAGACAGGTATATATCGACTTTTCACAAGAAAATATGGAAATATAATATAATAATTAGATAGATAATACACAACAGATAACATACATTAGATAAATAATATACAATAGATGGATAATACACAATAATATAATATATAATATATAATAATACATATAACATGCATTACATCATGCAATATATGATATATAAATATATGAAATTATATATAATTTATATTAATAAATTTATTGTTATATGCCACATAATTGCATATTATTGTATATTATTATATTACATTCCCATATTTTCTTGTGAAAGGTCGATATATACCTGTCTTTAACTCATACATTGGAAATGCTCAACATTTTTTAATGAGATATCAACATTTTTTTTCAAACTGACTTGATGAGAAATCGTACGTATATTGAGGAACGAAACTATTTTTTTCCAATATTTCATATATTGATGCATTGTACAAAGTTTAATATTAAATATTAAAGTATATAATTTAACTATGTTAAATCAATTGACGACTAAGAGGCGCTTATGAAGCGCAAACGGTTAAAATGGATTTTTGAGTTCCCAGATCGGGCAAATAATCCACTATATATTTCGAACACTGTTTGCAAAATTCATGCCTATTGGTAGTATAAATATCGGTACGTGCGACCTTGCTAGTGAACGAGCCGATGGATACTGGCGTTTACGTTCCATTAAGCGCTGGCCTTCTCGCAGCTCGGAAAGCGAAGCGTCTCTCTTTTGCCTTACATTGGGGAGCGGTGTACCCTATGTTGTTTCCTAGAGACGGATAGTTTTCTTCGCAAAATTTTTTTAGGAGTTTCATTGTAGAGTAACACTGATTGTTTTTGCAAGTTTTCGTAATTTTTTGAGCAAATATAATGATCAGAAATAATAAAAAGTGATGTATTTGGTTTGTATGTAGGGTGTTGTAGGTATGAAAGTACTTTAAATTTTCTGTGCTAGGTGTATTACAAATTAATTTTATTGAAAGCAAAATAATATGAGACGAAGATTTTTATGAATACATACTGCTGCATGCATTACTTCTCTTGATAATTCATTAATAGCTGTTGAGCAAACATTATCATATTAAACAGTGAATAACAAGTAAAAGACTTTGGCCACTGATGTTTCAATTCTTCACGCTTCATTGTGTATTTACTATCTTTATTTCTTTGATATTAAAATTGTTGATCTACTTGCATACACAAGTACAATTCTTTCTACATACAATTTAAATACTATTTCCTTGGAAACTTTTACTCCGTTTAAAACTCATTAATATTTATAAAAGTTTAGTATGTCCTTCAAGTTAATCGTCTTACAAAAGCTTTCCTCCGGTGATGTTCTCGAATATAACCGACAAAAAAACTTAAAACAGTACTTAACCACTTGCCTTATGGCTTCTTTCCCAATTGCTTGCAATAGAGATATTTTATTGTTCATGATTCATTAGAAAAAGAAAAAAATTCTACACTTATTCTATACCTACATTTACTCAGAATCATTACAATTAATAATAGAAAAATAATACTCAATTCGGACTTGGAAGAATTAAATAATATTTATATTTGTTAACTTCTATTTGAAATCTTCACCACGTATCTGACACGATATTGTAGGGCAAAACAGACTCAAAGAGCAAGAATAATTGAAGTCTCCCAAGTTAAGCTTTGGTAAAAACTTTCGTACGGAGCTATCTCCTAGTATTGCTAATATTCGTAATTAAATCACTATTGAAACGTTATTAGTGGTTCAGAAACAAAAGAAAATAAAAATCATCTGATTGTGTCTCCATAATCTTTGAGAAGTTAAAGAGCTACTATAAAAGTAAAACGAGATGACGGAGAGAGGGAGAGACGGTAGCAGAGTTTGCAAATACCTGGCAATCTAGAGATGTAAATGAGTCAATAACACTGGGGTTAATGCATGTCAACGAAACCGCGAGGTATGCACCGCAGCTATAGGTTATCCTTATACCTATCACGCAGCATGCTTCGTTATTTTATTTGACTTCATTTAATCACCGTGGAAGCTATGGAAGGGGCTGACCGCTGGTGTCGTATGCTCACCGTGATACGAGAGCTTCGACAATGGCGTAATCTTCTAGGGACGAGTCAGTCGCATCCTTTCGCAGTTTGCCTTCAGATTTTTATCTCTTTTATTTAAAATTCCTTTATGTATTCTTGGTTTAACACATTGCGTCACTCATATATGGATGACGTCATTTTTTGTCGACGCTAAATAATTGATATTTATAGTAGTACACTATTTCTCATATTTTAACATTTATGGCTGCCCTAATTTGAAATGTGTAGTTATGCCAATTCAATGTTTTAAATAAATGAAAATTCTAATATATTTTAGATATATGAAAAATAATTTCAAGTATTTGTGTATTGTGTTTGTTTTATAATTTTTTGCTATGTATTGAGTGTTGAAATATTAGAAAGAATGTTAGAAAAATAAAAAATGTGCATTTGTATAGTTGCAGTAGATTATTATTTTATTTATAGCATTAAAGAAATACTACGATTTTATTTTCAAGTGATATAATTATAACATTATAAAGAAAAATTAACAAAAAATCAACGTGATAGAAGTTAATGTCAAGGTTATTTGAAGATTGAACCAAAAAGGAATAAAATAATAATGGGTGTCATAAATCTAAACTTTTGAATTCTTGTTTTATCTAAATGAAATCTGGAAGTTGTTAATAGTCTTTTCATACTGGAAATATAATGTTGAAACTGTCTGTACCTTGTATGCAGGGTAAAAATTCTGCATATTATTTAAGTTATATGAGTCAGAAGTCATGATCATAGCTAGGAAAAAAATATAAGAGTTTAGTATCAAATGCAGTCCAAATATTGATTCATTATACCATTACATCACTATGCTATTATTATATTATAATACATAGTACATTTTCAAGAAAATTTCAAAACCTAGAGACTGAAAAAATGTTCAATATCTAGGTAAAGAACCTTTTCAACCCTGCTACGGTTCTCAATTCATCTATACATTTGAAATATTATTTTAAAAAGTAGGATCACATAGCTTAGCAACATTTTTAAGTGCCATTTTCAAATTCAAATTATACTTACAAAAATCAGAACAAAACTAAATTGAAAAAGATTAAACATGTTTGACTCA